TGGTCACCTCCGGGGCAGGCGGGAATCGAACTCATGCAGAAGTGGCTTTAGATTCTCAGTGCAGTGCTTTAACCCGCTGCGCCAACAGGGAGGGCCCCTGATTCTCAACTTTTTAAGTAAGAGTTGCCACTTTGCAAAAAGGGATTTTTAAATTGCTTACAACTATTATTTATATTTCTTTGTCCTATTTCAGCTCTAGAACCTCTTCAATTGTATCACATGGAGATGTTAATGGGAAAACTATGAAGCTATTGCAGCCACTGCAGCACAAGTTTGATCCAAGCCAGGTAGGTGACCCACATGGCACGGAAGACCTCTGCTATCTGACCAGCTATTCCCCTCAGCAGTGTTTTCAGTACATCTGCCTGTTCTGCTCCCCACTCTGCCTCTGGTGAATCCTCTCACCCTCCCTCCTTCCCCCACCTCTGGCCTGTATCCCAGTTCTTGTACGCAAAAATAAATAAAATCTTTTTTTTTTTAATAAAATAATGTTGCCTCTAGCTTGGAGTAATGTTTTTTATTGTGTTGAAGGAAAACGTCTTTATTTTCTGGGTCTCTATCAAGAAAATGATATCTACCAAATATTATTTATTTGTTAATCCATTTAATTGATTTATATTTTGTTTATAAAACTATAATTTAGAGAGTACAGCTGTGCACCTCTGTATGTGTATATGCTTCACTTACTACCAAAGTGGTGCCACCAAGTGCTTTTAAAATACTACAGTTTTGGGCCCTCCCTGGTGGCGCAGCGGGTTAAAGCACTGCACTAAGAAGCTAAAGCCACTTCAGCATGAGCTCGATCCCCCACTGCCCCGGAGGTGACCAACATGGCACGGCAGACCTCTCCTGACCTGCCCGCTGCTTCCCACCACAGAGTACTACGTTATGGCTCCCCGCTCGGTCTCTGGTAAATCCTCTGACTGCACCTGCACCTGTGGCCTATACCCCAGTTCTGTATGTATAAATAAATAAACCCTAAAAAAAATACTTCATTTCTGCTCTCCCATATCTAAATAACGATATCATGAGTTTCCTTAGTTTTAGCTTAAGCCTGCTGTATTTTGCCTGCTAAACCCAATTAATTTAGCATTTTTTATCAGCAGGACTGACTTACTGTGTTTTAACTTTGTCAAGTTTTACAAGCCAGATAAATTATTTGCTAAATAATTTATTTCCCTAATAATAAAATTAGGGAAATCAAACATAAGTTTTCTATGTTTAAAGAAAACATTACATGGAACAGAGGCAGTTCTTGGAAAAGTGTTCAGTAAAAGTCATATGATGTCCTTCGCTTTTTGGGAGCTCTATGAAACAGTGTTTCTATGTTTTCAAGTTCTGACTGAGTCAGTTTTGTGTCTGCATTTCTGTTAGTTATTTATATAATTTAAGGTTTCTAAATTATTGAAGCAAAATTGTGTATAGTCTTTCTCAGTTAACATTTTACTGATCTTTTTATTAATGTTAATGCCTTTTTCATTTTCAGTTTCATCTTGAAAAAATGTCCAACATTGTTCTTGTTTATTGTCTTTTTTGAGAAGAACCAACTAAACTCTTCCTAGTACTTCAAATTATTTTAAAATTTTCAAGTTTATTTTTTAAGTTTATTGTCCTGTTTTCTTCCTGCTCCTTTATTTTTAAAAAAGAGTTAGCCATGATTGATTATTTAAAAATTTTTTTTCTTGCTAATATTAGCATTTACATTTCTAGATTTTCCTTGAGGTTCTTTTAGGTATTACTAAATCTGATCAGAATGATCAGATTAGATTACCTTTCATCTTTATAACACTGTGATGCTCTTTCAAATACAGCTTGAAATCAAGCTACTTAAATTATGAGAATAGTTTTTCCAGATTATTAGGTGATTAGTCAGAAATGTAAGATGTGTAAGGGATATGCAGAGCATATACAGAAAAGTATGAAGAAAAAGCACTCATGACCATTCTAACTCAAAAAATGTGGCTGTATTCTATTTTCTTCAGCACATATAACAGACTCCAGGCAGATAGGCAAGAATATCAACTGACTGGCACAAAAGCTGGCATAAATATAAAAATCAGCTAAGGTTGAATTAAGTGAATCAAATGTGTATATATGAGTTGATTGTATTATCATTCAATTATACAGTATCTGTGGCTGAAAGTCTTCAGCAAGAAGTATCTGAGTTGATAGACTGTTCACATTATTTCATCTGAGATTTCCATGCCTCACATACCTGGATCGTTCAGTTTCAAGAGCCATGTCTTCAAAATCAGTTCTCTTTAATTCAGAGGTTGTTTCATTCCTCACTTCAGATGCCCCTGTCTCACTTATGTCTGAAGACAATGTATCATAAAAATATCTGTCACCTTCAAAAGTCAGTGTTACATCTGAGATGGTGACATGTTTTGAGGATTTTTTTACACTATCCTTATTTTCTGTATATTGTTGACACCCAGTTCGCTGAATGTTTTCCACTGTGCCCTGTAAAAATAAGCAGCAGCTCATGAGGTAATAGAAGAGCATCATGAAGACATAGATTACTTATGGCGCAGTGTCTAATACAGAGATCACTTCATTCATATTTGTGGAGTGACTCTGAGTGGCCAGCACAGTCATGAGGGATGGAGAATTTGGTGACTCAGAACCACCGGGTGGGCATGGAGACTGGATGCACAGGGTCCTGATATAGTACATGCAAAAAAGCTTTTGAGGTCACATATACCAAAGACACCTCCCTCAAGAAGATTAGTGATTAGGTAGAATAATTCCTCTCCCTGAATTACCAGAGAAAGGAAGGGTTCTAGAAATGCCTTTTTACTCCCCAATCTGAAGTTGCTCTTGCTTACCTGAAACTAATAGGTGAATGGAGTGGGTGGCCCATAGCAACAGTAAAGTGTTGTTTTTCCCTGAAATCTCTTGTACCCCTCATTTCTCTGCTTCAGTTATTGTGCTGTTTCTCAGTCAGTCCCACCTTCCTCAGTCTCTCTCTCTCAGAGCCTCTGGTCAGCCAGTCCTAAAAACCCTGTATCTAAAGTGCCTCCCATCTGCACCTTCTCCCTCCCATGGCCCCTGTCTAGTTCACCTTTATTATGTTCCCTTGAAAATAATGCAATCATTTTGCTTCAAGGTAAACTTTCATTTGTTTTCTGATAATGAAGACAATGCATATTTATTATAGAATGTTTAGAAAATCCTGTAAGGTAATAAGTGAAAGGAGAACAACATTGCTCTCTTGATGCCACTGGTGTGACGCACAGTGGTGTGCACTACTATTACTGTGCACCCTTGATCCTGCTCTTTCAGCCATTTATTTATTTTACATGTGTGTGCTCTGTGACCATATCGCATTTCTATGTATATTCACTATGTATATTTATGTATATTCACTTTCTTATGTTTTTAAACATTGTGTAAAACTACTTGAATCTTCTGTTTTTATTTATTTTTTAATATAATAGTTTATTTTTACATCATTTTGTACATTTTTTTAAAATCTCAATTGTAATCCCCGGGGGTTTCCCATCAAATCTTTTCTAATTAAAAGTATTTTCCTACAAGAAACAAAAATTTAGAAAGATATAAGGAAAAATATATGAATTACCTATGATTCCACAACCCAGAAACTAATTTTACATCATGAATTTTTTTCTCAGAAAAGTTCTTCCACAAGTAATAGCCATAGTCATTTAGTTAACGAATATTTACAGAGTGGTATCTTATCAGATACCACAGTTGCTCCTGTACAAATAAATAGGTCACTTGCCCTCATGTATTTAAATTCATTTAGCTATACCCTGTGGTGGAAGTTTAGTCATTACCATATTCATTATTTTATTTTTATGAAATTGGTATAGACCTGGTTTGATTTAACATCTTTATACCCAAATCCTCATCCCTGTTTCTGATTAATCATTTTTTAATTTATCTGATGACCTTTTTAGAAAGATTCCCAGAAGTAGAATCACCAGGTTAAAGGATCACCATTTTTTAGGTTCTTGATGCATAATGATTTCAAGAAAGTTTGTACCAATTCTCATTCCTACCATGAATCTGAATGAATTCCAAGTTGGCCACACCTTTAAGTATGAGCTGGTTTTATTGTTTCTATGACAGTTTTATGGGTTAAATTATTTTTCTAATATTGCATTTCTTTGATTACTAATGAATTTAAACTTTTCCACTCATAGCAGTTTATTCTGTGATATATCTGTCCTTTCCCCTTGCCAACTATCTGTTGTGGCCCCACTGAGGTTTATTCAGCAGTAGTCTTCAAAGTAATCTCTTTACCTATAACCCATCCTATCATTAGGTCAGTTTTTCAACAAACATAGTTCATTCACTCCCTTGCTTGGAGGCCTTTTGTGGCTAAGGTTTGCCAAAGACTGAAGTGCATATATCTTAACTGGCATTCAAGACTTGTAAATAACTTTCCAACTTTCCTAAAATTCTCCATGTATACTATGTTCTACCTAAACGGAAGCAATCCTTCCTGGATGTGGTTATGTGTTTTCCCACTTCCTGCCTTTTTCTAAAGCCACTCAGTTCTTTGGTTTTTTATTTTCCTATTTTCAACTTTACTTTCTACTTACTAAAGTTTCAACTGATCCATCAAGGTACTGCAAGTCTTTGCACCCACTTAAACCTCAAAATAGCCCTTACATATTAATATCCTCATTTTAGAGATGAGGAAACTGAGGTTCATGCAGATTCAGTGATTTGGCCAAACTAATACAGGGCAGGCTTTCTGACTGATTTCAAAGTTCTTTCCAGTCCATCATAACATTCTGCTACTGGGCTAAATTTAATGAAAAGGTTAGTATAGCCTATTTCAGGAAACATCTTACAACTTCTTTTTTCACCTGAGCTTAGGAATCAAACGTCATTGCAAAAATTGGGTTACTCTTAGTAAATTCCATTGCAAATAATAATCAGGGTCAGGTAGTTAATTAGAAAGCATGATCTTGCTTCTCACTCTTACTTATAGGTAATTAAAGAATAAATCTTCCATGTCACATACCTCTTGCTTTTGCATGACCCTTCCTATGTCATCATTTTCAAATACGACTGTGACCCTTGAGCTGTTTATGACCTCACAGTTGTCTGTGATTTCTGTGACTTCAGTGACAATTCTCACATCTGGAACCTCTGGGACCTCATTTTCTGGAATATCTGTGACATCGGTGACATCGGTGAAATCTGAGACTTCTGAGAAATCGGTGCTTTCTATGACACAGGTGGCCTCTGTACATGTGTATGGGTATGAGGACCCTATATCTGTGAAGGCTGCAATGTCCATGATGTCCATCGAGCCTGTGATGTCTGTGCTATTCGTGATTTCTGAGAGACTTGAGACTTCTGATATCTTGGAAGCTTTCACTTTCTCCTGATTCAAGAAGGAGATGAGTTCCACCCACTGATAAAATAAGGTGTCTTCTTTGTGGGCAGGAGCGCAGAGCTGTAGGTAGTAGGCTCGACCGCTCACCAACTTTACTTTGAGGCGCATATTATCAAAATCATGCACAGTAAGAGTCACAAACTGCAGAGGAATAAACCTGCCAACAAACACAAATATCATCTGGAGGCCTGATAGGAAACCTAGGAAAGGCTCTGGCTTTCATGTTTTATAGCAACCTAAAGAATTAGACTCAGGACAACAGGCTTGGCTTGCAGACTGGCCTGGGTAGGGCAGCTGTGGTGTGGGTAGTATTTTTGGGGCCGTCATTTTCCTAGGTCTGGTGAAAATAGACTTTTAGTACAGTCATCAGTCTCCTGAGGGCCATCTCATCCTAATCATATTCCTAAGACTATGATAGACTAAAAAATCAGAGGATCAGCTGCTTAACATAAGGAATGTCCCATTTAATCTTGTAAAGTTGAAACTTAAGATAAGCTGAGTGATTTGCTGTAGGTCATATAGCAAGTTAGGACATGATACAAGACCAGAGGGGATTCTAATGGAAGCTGGGGTATTGGGAGAGGGAGGAGGAAGGGAGCCATTTATTAGTGCTTTCAAGAAGTTTCTGCTACTTAGGCTTAATTCTTTAAAAATGAATTGTCTGCTTGAAGGCCAGGTTGTCATAAGCTATTTTCTTAGACTCTCAGGATGTGGCTTTGTCTTTTGTAGCAGGAGTGCAAGTGAGATGCACCCCTGAAGCAACTGTCATTGGTGTCTCCCTTTTCAACTCCTCAAGGGTACAGCTTATTTTCTGAGAGATCCTTAACGTCTTCCCTTTGTAACTCACCTGGTAAGCACCACATTATCTGGAGATGGAGATGTCAGCAGACTTTCAAACAGGGATTCTGCATCTTCTGGGGCTGTAGGTTTGAGATGCGCGAGCAGCATCACATTGGGGACCTGGGGGGCTTGACAGGAAGAGCAGATGCCCATGGTCACCCAGTTGGCTCGGTTATGAAGGTAAATGGATTCACCTCTTCTGTTGACCTAAGGCAGAGAACAGGAAGAGGAATTTTCTGATAAAGTTCATGTTCATTACAATTTTGCTTACCTGGGCAAGGTGAGAAAAGGAGGAATGAACCTAAGGAGCACATTTGTTACTGAAATTCTTGAAGTTATGACAGAACAAGCAACTACAGTTCCCTAGCCTTGAAGGTCTACCAGGGAAGAAAAATATTCAACAATTAAGCATGCCACAGTTTATTACTGTAAGAATGGTTACCAAATTTAAGTTTAGGATGCTGTAGTGAATAGAAAAGGGGACCTAAAGGGGATGAGGTAGTTGTGTGCTGGCAAATATTAACAATCTCTTCAAAGATACACATATGCATGTATAGATATTTATTATAAGTTTTACTGATGTAACAGATCAGTAGCACACAGCTTACAAATAATGACGTATAATATATATGCTCTATTTTAAATTATCCATAGTCAATTGACCTTCAGAGAAGACTTCATTGATCTTTGCCAAACATTTTCATGTCTTAATGCTTTATTGAAGTACATAGATGGAAATTCCAACACTTCATGAATTTTCACAAACTGAAAACACACGTACAGCCAGCACACATATTAATAAACAGAAATTGTCACCATCCAAAAGCTACCCTCCCAGGTCCTTTCTCCTCTCTACCTTCTCCTAATGGGAAAATGGAATTCAGATATTTATCAGTATAGTATGTTTTTTTGTGCTCAGATGAGCCTTGTTTGACTTAATCCCCTCAGAGGTACATTTCTGAAATCCACTTTTAGTGTGGCACGTAGTTCTCTTTGCTATATGTTATTCCATTATTCAAATGTTATCCATTATACTGTTGATGAGCTTTTGGGAAGGTTCCATTTTGGTTATTGTAACTATTTAGCAGTGATGAATTTTTCCCCACATCTTGTTATTTGTATTATATAATTGACTCAAATATCTTTTGCTTTGATAATTTTATTTTATTTTATTTATTATTATTATTTTTAAAGATTTCATTATTTATTTATGCATACAGAACTGGGGTACAGGCCAGAGATGCGGAGGGTGAGAGGATTCACCAGACAGAGCGGGAGCAGAACAGGCAGATCAACGAAGTACACTGCTGAGGGGAGCAGTGGGCGGGTCAGGAGAGGTCTGCTACGCCATGCGGATCTCCTTGGGGCAGGCGGGATCGAACTCATGATGAAGTGGCTTAAGCTTCTTAGTGCTGTGTTTTAACGTGCTGCGCCACCAGAGAGGGCCCAACAATAATTTTATTTTTAACTAAAATTTTTACTTCATATTTTAATTTTATTTTAAAAATGTATTGTGGTAACATTAGTTTGTAGCACTGTTATATTTAGGGGGATAGGTTCACACCTGATCAGATGTATGTCACTCTGTCACATCCATCACTAAAGTACCTATAGTTCTTTACCACAGATCACTGGGTCCCTCCCCCTTCTTCTCACCCCCACTCACCTTTCCCTCTAGCAGCCTCAATTCTGAAGTCATATTACTAGATTTTGTTTTATTTTGGTTTTGTGTGTTCCTTTTATTTCCCTACATCCACATATGATTGAAATTGTTGAGTGTTTTTCTCCTTCTGGTTTATTTCATTTCATAATCTTATGTCTACTCATGTTGTAATGGCAAGAGTTCTTTCATTTTTATAGTTCAGTATTCTATACTGTATCAATGCCACATATTTTTAATCTACTTACTCCTCTGTTGTTTTAGATTCTTTCCATACTTTGGTTACTGTAAATAAGACTACAATGAATACAGGAGTGTATACAGCCCTTCAAATTTGTGTTTTGCATTCTTTCGATACATACCTAGGAGTAGAATTTCTGGGTCATATGGTATATCTAATTTTTAGTATTTTTGAAGAGGCTCTCTCTTGTTTTCCAAAGGGGCTGGCACCAGGACCACTCTACACTCCCACCTTTCCAACATTTGTTGTCTTTGGCCTTTTAATGGGGGCCTCACAGGTGTGTGGTGGTATCTCATTGTGGTTTTGATTTGCATTTTCCTACTGATAAGTGATGATGGATAGTTTTCAGACTGATAAGTGATGATGGATATTTTTTCATGTGCCTGTGGCCTTCTGTATGTCTTTGTTGGAGTAGTGTCTATTTTATTCTTCTGCTCATTTTTTATTGGGTTCTGTATTTTTTACTGAGTTGTATGAGATATTTGTTAATCTTGGATATAAGTCTCTTGTCAGATGTGTTGTGCTCATAAGCCTCAAGAATATAAAAATGATGAAATGTAGTAAAATAAAAGGATGGATGTTTTGAATATTTGTTGACTTTGTTTTAAATATCATTTATTGACTTTAAATTTATAAAATTTTATTTTCAATAATAGCTTTTTAACAACTAACTTGCAAACTTCCTATACATCTACCAATCTGCGAGCTGTAGCACATCCTGGACATCAGGTCATGGAAGTCTCCCTGAGGAAAGACCTCTAGCTAAGGCCTGAACAATGTGAGAGATAAACTAGTTGGGTGGACAGCAGACTTTTCCAGGCAAAAGACAGTAAGTGCAAAACTCCAAAGTCTAAGAATCTTGGCTAGATGGAAGTAGAGAGAATAAAAATTGTGGAGACAGGGACATGAAGGAAGTCAGACAGGGTGACACCTGGTTTCTCAGCTATACAATAATTGATTCAAGTATAATCATGTAAAAATGAAAGCACTCAGAATTTGTAACACCCCAGTGCTGATTTTCTATCCCAAAGTATATCCCTGTTCTTCCTTACTAACTGAACTCTGACTCCACTCCATATCCAGGCCTCAGGGACGGTAGTGTTTCCCCCCATGCCCCCACAAATATCAAATCCTTATTAATCACGGTGATCCTGCCTCCTCCAGCCCCTTGCCAGTGACCCAGGTCTGGCTAATGGGGTACAGTGGAAGCCTCTTGGAGGCTCTGGGGAAGGTTTCTCTGCTCTCACAAAGAATGGGAAGGATGAAATGCATCTCTTCTGTTGCTGGCAATTGTCACTATCTTGTTAGCATGTGATGTCCTGAGGCGAGTAAGCTTGAGAGAGTCAGAGCAAAGAGAACCTGGGTCTTCAGTGATTCACCACTGGTAATCTGATAGCATGTGGCCTTTTCACTCTATTTGAGATAATTGCTGGTTTTGAATGTTTGTTTAACTTATGAGTCAGGAATCTTGGCAACTTGTTGCCAAAGACATACTAATCAAGAAAACTTGTACATCTTGAAGGGGGTGACTTAACAAGTTATACATAGGGCCATGTCTGGTCTTTAGAATACTAGTTACGTCCCCCAGTATTCAATGGCACATTCAAAAGTTTATTTGAAAAGATACAGGAATAAATGTGAAAAATAATATAAAAATATTATTAGTAGAAACACATAGAGGGCAAAGTACATATCAAATCATGCCTGATCACCTGTGTTCTGGGACTTGACTTAAACATGATTGTTCCTCAGGTCATCACCTCTTGCCAGTGGTGTTCTGAGGAAAGAAGTACCCTGGCATCATTCCCTAGTAATCTGGCATAAGTGTATAGAACGTGCTTTTCGAAATGAAGATGTGTCTGTTGTCTTCCTTGTCACACTTCATGAATTAGCTGAGGGCTGCTTGAGTGTGTATGTTCCATATTAGATGTGGTTGTGGTATTTCTATGAAATTTAGGGCTATTGCCAACATCACTGTATTTATCCTCCCATTTCTTTGAATGTTTTAACATTGAGTATTTAAGAGGAAAGTTAGAACTGCTCCTAAATACATTGAAATGTTTCATTCATAATATAGGTGCTTTTCTTATGAGAAGGAAACTTTTCTCACTGGCACAATTTAACAATTACAACTTCAGAGCTAAAGAGCCAAAATTCATTTTAATTCCTGTGTCACTGATGTTCTTACTCAAAATGTCTTCTAAGTCTAAGAAAGGAGTTAATCTGAATGATTTCCTATGGCTGGATGTTCTAAAAATCACTATAAGCTCTTTGTATAATTTTGGGAAGATTGTGATAATAGTTATGGTAAAGTTAGGACAGAATTCCTAGGGAAGAGTTTGTTGGGAAAATTTGAAATGAGTTTTTCTTTAACATTATCATTATTTTAATGTTGTCTGCAGGTCTAAAATTTTTCCTTTTGATGGTCTCTCACATTCCCTTACCATATTTAAGACAATTGTCCTCAAATTTTCAGTTGTTTTGGAGAAAACTTAAACTAATAGAATATAATTCAAAGCTCAAATTCTCATTTACCTGGATAAAATTGCTCTCTAATATGGGAGAAGATACAAAAGGGGCATACTCTCCTCCACCCAACATATTTTGAAGATCTGCACCGAGGGTGTGTGGGTCACAGATGGTGTCGTCCTCATTGATCCTAGTAGTGGGCCTCCTGTCATCCTTCTTCATCGTGCTTATATGCCAGCACCAGGAAATGGCAGGAATGGAGGTGAGATGAGCAGATACAGAGAAAATTTAATAAAAATTCAGTTGCCTTATGTTTTCATTAATTAGCAATTAGAATTCAGCAAATTCTATCAACATCTATGATATGCTGGGTACAATGCTGGGATCTGAATATATATCTGAAGAGAACAGATGCATTTACTGCCCTCATACAACTTATACTTGTTGGGGAGACAGAGAGTAAGCAAGTAAAAAAATAAAGATGTTGGGGGGTAAAATTTACAAAGGCTCTAGATAATGAAGATGGCCTGGATTGTGAAGCTGGCAATTCTAATTAATTGGAATGCTTAGGAGAGGCCTCTGAGGAGGTCTTTCATCATATGTCCTTCTTCTGCCGAACTAATATTTTTGTCTTCTTTTTTTAAAAGATTTTATTTATTTATGCATACAAGAACTGGGGTACAGGCCAGAGGTGCAGGGGTGGTGAAAGGATTCTCCAGAGACAGAGTGGGGATCAGAACAGGCAGATTGACTGAAATACACTGCTGAAGGGAGCAGTGAGTGGGCCAGGAGAGGTGTGCCGTGCCATGTGGGTAGCTCCCTGGAGAGGGGTTGAACCTGTGCCTCAGTTGCTTTGGAGAGCTTCATAGTGCTGCGCTTGCATCTGTTGCGCCACCAGGAGGGAGCCCTATTTCTGTCTTCTTAGTTAATGGTATCCTTATCTTTTCTGTCATGGAGGACTCTCAAGATCTAAGTATCAAAATGATACTTAAACTGAGATCATCTCCTGACAGTCACCAAAGAGTGAAGCTTAGTGCTTGGTTGGGAGGAGTAGTAGATTATCTAATCTATGACAGTTGCTTATCTCTTGTTCTCTTGCTTGGACTATCCAAAACTGCTTCAAAAAACAATAGCTCTACTTCATTTGACTTCACCTTTCATTCACCAGAAATGAATAAATTCCAAGAAGGGTACAGGCCTCAGACTGTAATTCTATTCATATGTCAAAAGATCACCCTTTTTAGAAACTCAGTGCCAGGTACTGCCTTAGCTGTAAGCAGTAGCTCCTTTATGTATTTCTACCTCAGCCTTTCCTGAGATTCTTTTTTCTACCAGCTCAAGCTAAAGCTAACTAAAGATCATGTTTCATTGCTGCCCCAGCAAGGATACTTCAAATCAGAGACCATGCTGCCTGCCTGATTTCATACAAAGGTCAGCATCAGGTTTATAAGTGGCATCACAGCAGGGCTCACCCTTCATTTTCCAGAACAGCCATGATTTCTAAATTGTCCCTCTAAAGTCAGACTCTCTCATGGGTCCCCTTTTGAGATTTCAAAGCAGCAACTTTGGTACACTGAATTCCATAAGAGGGACAGAAGAAAAGAGAAAAAGCCAGCTTGGAAAGGCAAGTAAATAGAGTAGGAAGTGAGAAAGAACCAAGAAAGCAAGCAACATGGAAGGAGAGGGTCTACTGACACAGTAGACTCTTCTGTATGGTACATCACTTCTTACCTCAAATCAGGGCCACGCCACAATCTTTGCATGGAGACAAAGCTTTAATTCACTTCAGTAGGGCTTCCTCCTTTTCATGATGCAGTCTTTCATGAAAGAAACAAAAACAGAGGAAGTGTATGCAAAAGACGAAAATATCACCACTAACCCTTTCTTATTCCAGGCTTTAGGAGGAGTCTAACTAAATGAGCTGGGTGAAGTGGCCAGCTGCTGTCAGCATTCGGGATGAGCTGTTGTCAGGGATCCTAATCATGGTCTGTCGGTGAGTGGAACAAGGTGGTTTTGCATCCATAGTTCATAGTTGGCCTGAGACTACCAACCAGTGAAATCCTGGGTTCTGTAGCCTTTGATAATGTGACAAAGGAAGTAATAGAATGTTGTAAGAAGCTTTATCTTATAAAAAGTCATAGCAGCCTATCCAACTCTCTAAAATTTCATACTATGTTTCATACAGTTACTGTGACAATCATTTTTCCTCTCTGTAAAGCTCCAACTTAAATGACCTTTCAGGAATACCTGGACCAGAAAAACACAACCACACTCACGGAACTCAAGTGCCATAAAAGGCTGGTGTGGAAACTGGTATGGGATGTATAATGAATTCTGCAGCCTGACACATCGGGGTTCATATTTACCCTCTGCAAACCTGTTTACTTAACATTTCTAAGCTCATTATCCTCACGTATAAAAGGGGAACGAGATAACCCACCCTGATGCAGTGTTGGGTGGCTGAATACATGATGTCCAGAAAGCAGTGAACACCATGGCTATCTGGCAGTGAGCACCTGAACATGCCTGTATCAGTTTTACCACATCACTGACCTTGAGTCGAAAGTATAATTTATCTAGCATTTGCTGGGCTGGGTTTCTTCTTGATCCCTATAGCCTGATAATAGTTTCCCAAATTATATTCACTCTAAGAAACATACTTCCCATCAGTTCAGCAACTCTGAAGTGGAACGTGCCTTGTGATCACAGTCTGCTGGGGGGCAACCTCATCATGTGTCACAGGCATGAACATCAGATAACTGTTCCTACTGAAGTAAACACACTGATTATACTACAGGGGTTGCAATAGCCATTTAAAATGTGTACCTGATGGGTACCTGAAAATCATTTGTTGACACCTGGTAATATTTAAAAAATTCCAGTATAAAACTTGCCGAATAGATGTCAGGGACTTGGAAGTGGGCACTAGTGGGGAACACTCGTTTAAGAGATGCACGAGGCTGACAGTGCAGATGATAACAGATACTGCATGGAAAAAACTATAAGAGCATTGATAACTAGCAGCATTCTCCCTCCCTCCTCACTTCCCTAAGTCCTTAATGGCCTATCTTACAGTTGAGGGATCTTAGATCTGGTGAAATGCAGTAATTAACTCTTACATTGTTTTAAAAAAAACACTACCACTCTGGGAAACTGACAACACTCACATTCCAGAGGACATGTCTAGTGTTTACTGACATATGCTAATTTATAGATGTCCCATGGCCATTGGACTAAGGAATGCTCCTTTTTATCGTAGACATTTATATGGCCTCTAGAATTGCTTGGATACAAGCCCAGTGCCTCCAGAAAGCCATCAGCATATGGTCTCTCAGGGGAGCAGGTGTAGCTGTGGATTTAGGGCTGCAGATCATGGGGGAGGGTTGCAGGAGGAGGGGAAATGGGAGGAAGGGCAGGGCTTCCATGCAGTTGGAGCCATGCCTGGGCTTTGCCTTTCTTGTCCCTTTTCAATCCTGGAACAAAGGGGAGGTCAGCTAAGAAGCAGAAAAGGAAACAATCTTTATTATCTTCTCTGATGTGATTTTTTTTGTTGTTGTTACTAAATCTGGGATTATTTTGACACTTTTGGATTATGTACATAGGCAGTAAATGCTTGAATGTTAACTAGTTACATGATGCTGTTATTTGAGATCAGGTGTCAGTCTGTATACCACAACCTCATCACCTTACACCAGCCTTTTCAATAATCCTGGTTAATTAATCAAGACAGAACTATTCTAAAGATGTATGAATTGTGAAATTCATTTGGTTTCTGTGAAACCAATTTTGGTGGCACACACAGTACCATACACTTTGCTTATGGTCTAAGAGTGGGAGCGTTTGGTAACTACTTATTATATGTGAAATATTTATTTAGAGATAGCATTAAAGTTTTGGTTTAAAAATATATTTAAAGTTTGATCCTTCTAGTTTTACATAAATATGTACACACATTATATAAACATTTCCTATAAAAGTTTTTTTTTAAAAAAACAGCAGTTTCCGGGCCCTCCCTGGTGGCGCAGCGGGTTAAAGCACAGCACTAAGAAGCTTAAGCCACTTCCGCATGAGTTCGATCCCCGCCTGCCCTGGAGGTGACCACATGGCGTGGCAGACCTCTCCTGACCCGCCCGCTGCTCCCCTCAGCAGTGTACTTCGTCGATCTGCCTGTTCTGCTCCCCACTCTGTCCCTGGTGAATCCTCTCACCCTCCGCATCTCTGGCCTGTACCCCAATTCTGTATGAATAAAAAAAAAAAAAACTAAAAAAAAAAAAACAAAAAAACAGCAGTTTCCAATCAAGATGTGGTGGTGTTTGAAGCATCACAATCTCGGGTGAGACATATCAAGATGAATTGTGCCCAGTGGCTAAACTGATGCTTGAGATATGATCTTAATCAGCAGTAGGTACTTCAAGGCACTCTGATAAGATCTCTGTGCTCTGCTATGCTTTCTTGTTGGGGTGATTATAGAAGAGCAGCTAGATAGCTCAGAGCACCAGGCCCTTCTACACCATGAACAACACTTGCTGAGATACTGTTACTAATTTTGGTGACCAAAACAATTTTAATTGTGTAGGCTGGACTTCTATTTATTTACTTTAAAAGATTTATTTATTTATGCATATAAGAACTGGGGTACAAGCCAGAGGTATGGGGGTTGAAAGGATTCACCAGAGACAGAGGGGAAGAGGACAGGTAGACTGAAATACACTGCTAAAGGGAGCAGCAGGTAAGACAGGAGAGATCTGCTGTGCCGTGTGGGTCACCTCCCTACCTGGGAATCTAACTGGTGCTGCAGTGGCTGCAGATAGCTTTATAGTTACCTGTTTTCACCCATTGTGCCACCAGGAAGGGCCTGGGCTAGACTTTTATAGATAACTTTGCTTTCCTAATAATTTATCCATGGACCAGTTTTTAATATAGCTTTATATTAGCTTTAGATTTCATTTATATACAATCAACATCTATTTAAAGGGCACAGTACAATGGTTCTAATGTATTTGTAGGGTTTGTGCATATCATAAAGGGCTATTCCATACTAGCTTCACTTCTAAGTCTCTCTCATATTTGGCCATTCCCATGATCTAACTTTAGGACATTTTTATTACTATTCATCTATAAGTGGAGATGAGAACATGAATAGTACATGTATGTCTCTGTGTTCACTGTATGTCAGAAAATGACATAACCATGATCTCTATGTGTGATATTAGGGAAGAAAA